AAACCTCATACCACAGTCAATAGATATTTTGAATACATAAAGAATACTGAATTGGGTTCTTGATTAGTGTTTGATTTATACCACAAAGACCACAAGATTCAGAGGTTGCCAAGGCAACACCACTTCAACCTCCTTACATTTCTGCTTTGATATGAAACCTCTCATTGCATAAATGTATCACAACACCAGTCAGCATGACAGGCTATTCTACAAATATGCCTTCAGATAGCAGACAGCTATATTCTTCTCTTAAGTGGGGGGAAAAGGCAGGAATAAAGTTACCTTTTACTAATGGGAAGAGGAGAGGGGCAAAAGTGGCATTCTAAGCTATATAGGCTTTATTATGAAATTGTATCCTAGGCCTTCTCATACAGCCAATAAAATTCATAATATTTGGACAAAAACCCACAAAAGAGCAGGAAGCGAACAAAATAACCACAAACACACCACACAAGTAGAGTCCGAGACTCTAGAATTTTCAGTCATTGGAACTACAACTGCATATAAAAGCTTTACTGAACCATTGGAAAGCGAATACTCCAGCATATGTTGCTTACAGCTACAGAGCAGGCAAAGTTTAGTAAAGCATGAAAGACCTACCAGAAACCTACTGACACTTTTTTAACCTCAATTTTGAGGTCTAGAGTGGTACTTAGCAATATACCACTAGACTTCTTTATTAAGCAGTATTCAATATGCAGTAGTCTACCTAGGATTATAGTCCAGGATCCTCCAGCAGAGGCAGGCTCCCACAGGAGGAGGGCTCTCTGAAAGATGGTTACTTCTGTGTCTCCTCCTTAGTCTTTTAGACCACACTGAGTCTGAGCAGACTACAAACTGATCCAGAATACACAAAGCATGGCTGGCTGGGTGGGTTAGCAACAGGATGGCAATAGTTCCAGATGCATCCCTCCAAACCTTTCCTTTTGCCCTAGCACCCTCTGTGCTGCCAGGAGGCTTTTCAGAGACAGTATTACGAACAATCACCCAATTCTGCATCATCTGGGGACACTCCAGCATGAGCTGAGAAAGCTGACCTTTGCATTTCTAAAGAGAACACTGTTACATGTAAGAATACACATGGATCTTTGTAGTTATGGAAAAAATAATATGAAAATTTGAATGGTCTGGGCTGAAAATTTTTACTTCTGCCTCCAGTTCCATTTCTGGATTGTAATTTCCAGTTACACTTTTCTCACTATGACTTGGTGACACGCTGTCCATCCTCAACAGTAAACAAAATAAATCTTAATGGTGTGTCATAAGAAGAAGAGGAGCAAAAATACCAGTAGGGGGCATGTACAGTACGAGCAAAGCAATTGTTCCTTCATCCCAACAGTTACATCAGTGCCAGGTCACAGAAAATTGCCCCAGTTTGTAATAACAAAATAACACCACTTACAAATATTTCTAGTTGAATGCTCCTCCATTACCACAGAGTGACCATTTGTGTGGTTTCTAAAAAGAAATCCATCTCTACTTACTTGTGAAGAATGTCACTTTCACACTAAGGTGTGAAAAACACCTTACATCACAGGTTCCTTTACAGGTTATGCCACCTGCTATGCACTCAGAGCACTGCAAAATGTTCAGGGCATGGACTATCTTGGACCATCCAACTGCATCCAAAGCCTTGCTGTACTGCCTATAGAACCAGTTTCACTACACAGCCAATTCCTGCATGCTGTAATCCCAAAAGATGAAAGTGTGGCAAGTCTGTGGATGTGCACAGAATTCCCAGTTTCACTGGGTAAGGAAGGAATGTATCATTTATGCTGTTCTTTACTTCCCCACCACCATGTTGTTTCTCATTCCCTAAAGCGTTCAGGTGATGACTCAAATGACCAGCTAGCACCTGACCCAAAACATACAGGCTACTCTTTCCTATCACCTGTTTTGCGTGTTGGAGACGCTGTTGGAGACACTGTTTTGCATGTTGGAGACTCTGAAGAGGGCAAATTTGGACCTAAAGACCAAGACTCTAGAATCTAAAACAAACAAATAGCCTACACTCCCCCCCCACCAAAAACAAAAAAAAACAACAAAAAAATCCCCAAACAAGTTTACAAGACACAGTTTATGTAGGACAGCTACAAGATTGACATCAGAATCAGGTATCATGCTGCCATCCAGTTAGCCTTAACACATTTCCACATAAAGTGGGCCACTGAAGCTGGAGAAGAGCCAGTGCAGCAGAAAACCTTCCAGGTTATTTTGCACAGGACTATGCAAATTCTTCCCAAAGCTGAGGACTTGATATCAGAGCTATTGGTTTATCAACTTTTACCAGCACTAAAACTCACATAATTAACCTTAGAAGACAGCATATTACTCTGAACAATATTGTTGAACAAAAATATTGTGACTAAAATCAATTACTTGCTCAAGGGATTTTTAAGACATACATTTCCTTAATTATTGTCAGATATGCAGGTCAACAAAAAGCAAGATTGATTTCTGGATAAACAGAATAACTGTGATGTTTAAATGTTGTGTGGAAAGAGAAATTGTGAGTTAAAGCATTTTAATGAAATTACAGGAATATCCAGGAGGTACTTCCAGTCAAGAAACTGTACCCATGTCCATCTATCCATCCATGGCATAATGCAATACCCTCTCCAGTCTTCACCTTCTTATCACTTACACCTTGCTGATCAGGATGCATTCCTTCTTGTGCAGCCATACTGATTAATGTAGTACTAATACAATCACTATGCTGTTTGCATCAGCAATGTTAGAACAAATTGACATTAGCTGGAAAAGTCAAGTCAGCCTTATTTTTTGTGACTCTGTGCTGTCATCTCATCTGCTCACTGATATATGTTGTGCCCTGAACTAGCCCTCGGCATCTAAAATAGCAAAGTAACCCCAGACCTGTCCCTGTAGAGAATCAGGGAGGTGAAATAACATGTTTTAGCCATGTAGCAGGTTCATTTCTGTAGTGTCCAAGAACTTCCCAGCAGTGCCTAAAGCCACACAACTAACAGTCAACATTTGTCGTTTCCTCTCCTCATCTGGGAGAGAAATTTGTGCCATTCAGTGTCTTGCTTTGCTAGGGAGTTTTGGTCTGGTTTGTGGTAGATATTTTTTTCAGGCTTTTGTGGGGAGGAGGGAAATAGGTGATGTTTTAGGATTTGGGGTTTCTTAGTGCTTCATCAGAGGAGGTATAAGAACCATGAAAATGTCACTTTGCCCATCAAAAGAGTGATTGAGATCTGCAGCATTGCTCTGTTCTCAGGAAAACTGCACACAAGCTCCTTTCCCTCCCAGTTCTCTCACACAAAACACTGCCTAGGAAATCTGCATTTCCAGCATTAGTCTATCTACATCAGTACATAAAATAAAGTCAGGCATCTATTCCCCATCCTGACTGAAAGCACCATAGAGCAGCAGAGCAAAAAGCCAGTAAGTTACACTCAAAAAGCCACTCAGAAGGTACGTGCTCAAAGCCATTTCTTGTGCTTCATTACTTCCCTCCTCAGTCCCCTGCCTAGATACATAAATCAAAAGGTGGCAGGTGCAGCATTATTTCTTCTACACCTTCCCATTGCTCCTTTCCAAATCCCCACTCCTCCATGGGTAGAGGAGTTGTTACACAGCTCTGTGTGTGTATGTATACATATATATACATACAAGCCTTCCACCCTAATGAGAAGGAAAGCCCCATATGAAAGGATCATAACCCATCCAAGCTTTGTGAAGCATGGTAAATGCAAAGCTTTTGTATCCACACTGTTGTTATACATGGCTTTGTCCTACAAAATTTAAATATACTCTCCAAAACAATACAGACAGGATTAAGGGAGACCTCACCCTTAAAGACACCAGCAACCAGCATAAGTTGAAAGCAATTCCTGGGAAAGGAAAGCCACTGAAAGGAGAGCAGACTTTATAGGAAGTATGCATGTATATAGAGTATGTATAGCACATACATATAACATGTATACCATACGCAAGCATGGGTATGGTATATACATCTGTGTTCTAGCTTAACTTTTCAGTAACAAATTCTAGGAAAAAAATAACTGCAGAACACCAAAGCTGCTACAGAGAGGAGCAAACAATTAATTAAATTCAATTTCTCACATAATAGCTTATTCAGTAAAACATAATACTGCAGTGTTTATTGGCTTCCTAATTAAGTCTAACTACTGACTCCCTGTTAGGAACTTCAACATTTTACTGCTGCTTTTTTCAAGACATTCATGATTTTCTACCAGAATGGCAAAGAGCCACAAAAATGCTCACCAATGAAGTTTTTTCCAGTTATATTCCTGCTTTCATTTATAGCTTGTTTAACATCAGAAATGTATTCTTAAACACTTCCTCACTTGCATTATCATAGTGTAATCGTCTGGCTAGCAGCCAAACACAGACACTCACTCACTCTAACCCATACTAGGGAATATCCCATTGGCATACCCAATTACCAATCTGGTTTACCAATTTCAATGTTCCTCACCCCTCCAAGACTAGCAAAACACAAAATCCTTCGACTTCCACTGAGAATTGAAAACATTAGTATGTTATCAACATTCTTTCCCATACTGAAACCAAAACACAGTGCTATTCTAGCTACTAAGAAGAAACCTAGCTCTGTCCCAGCCAAAACCAGGACATAGATACCATAGAAACCATAGATAATGCAAGACAAGTTCCAAGGACAACCTTAAGTGTCTGAAACAGGTAATGAATACTCTGTCTAGACAAGAGATGCAGACAACACTGTTCCACACTTCTCTCAGTTCTGCCATCTGCTAACAGCTTTGACAGTAAGCTGAATACCTGCAAATGTCTGCATCTCTTACCTGAAAAGAAAAAAATAGTTAGCTTTGTCTAAATAGAGAATAAACTTTAAAATTCTGTAACACCTATTTAAAGATTAAATCCTCATTCTACTGATAGGTTAACAGTGGGGAAAGTCAGAGGCTACTTCACATTTCTATCTGGCACACAGATAAATCAGTAAACTACAGATAGCATGTTCATGTGACACTCACCTGGTGTAGCTTCTGCCAAAATTCAGGTCCATCCTCCATTTTTCTTAAACTTGGTGGAATGTACCAAAAGCAAACGTTTGCATACTCTGGCTAAACAAGAGAACAAGTGATTGCTTATGAGATGTAGCAAATGAAACAGTAATACAGACAATAGCTTGCCAAAAAGTTCTGCCTTATTTTTTCTAGGGGACAAAAAACAAATCCATTGAGTTTAAACCCTTTTCATTAAAACATCCTTCTCCAGCTCACCTTCTGTTTCCCTTTTTTGAAAGTCAAAATCATTTTCACATCATCTCATTTCTTTCTGTTGCCAGAAAAAAGAAATCTATCTTGGTTCCTTTTTCATTTCTTCTTCCCCTATATATATATATATATTTAATTCTGCTTTACTCACTAAAATAGGCATAGAAAGGTAACTTACAGATTTCAAATTGAAAAAAAAAAATTAAAGAGAAGAACAAATTTTCTTTTTAGTGTCCTTTTTTTAAATGTAAATTTCCTAAGATGCATTTTACACAAAACACACAAACTCAGTTTTTGTCACCATTTAACACTGGCACACCTAGTAATTTTTCTACTGAACAATGCCAACCTCCTTTTATATCATATGACACACAGCACACTACTGCTCAGTGTTAGAGTTAATGCTGCCTTTCTCAACTTCCATGCTTTATAAGAATCACAGGACCCCCTGCATAGTAAGTGCCATATCCTGGATATATCCTGTCCAACATCTAAGCAGACCTTTTGAGCAAAGACTGACACTCCACATCTCTGCTTCCCTCCAGAGAAATTTTGCCTTTAAACTCAGAGACTTAGCTGCAAGCCTCCTGGCAAGAAGAATGGCTGTTCATCATGCATTATAAAATAAGGCATTTTGTGCTTATGAGGTTTCCATTTCATATATGATTGAGAAAATGTCCCCAGCAGACCAGTCCAGGGTCTCTCTATTTCCTGCTAATTTTGAACAATTTTTTTTTCCAGATAGCAATAGCATGAGGAATAGATGTATCTTCTAATCCCACCCAACATTTCCCATAAAAACACTGAGTCAATCTTGACCTACCTTATTTAAAACACAGTATTTAACTGGGGTCTAGATTATAACACGGAGTATAAAACTCACACACCCCTCTCCCCTCCCACATGACACACTCATTAGTACTGGTTGAAAGGAGGAAGAAAAAAAAAGAAGTTTAAAGGGAGCTTGGTAGCTGGGTCACACCATCTCTTTGCCCCACTGTGAATGTGGCTGCTATTACGATCCCTGGCAGTCTCCTGAACAAGAGAGCCCACCAGCTGAGACATGTTTTTCATGAAAGGGCACTGGGAACTGCTCATATTATTTTCCGCCTCACTTCAAAGAATGCATTAAATACAATTTAATCATCAAGAAGAATATCGTTGTCAGCAGGAACAGAGCTGCAAACCTGCCACCTGCTGCCACTGAATGAAATAAAGCTCAGCTCTTACAGTCCCATTTCTTTCCCCAAAGAGCATGCACTGAGTACACACATAAACACAAACCCTAAAAAGGCAGTGCCTTCCTCATGAGTGCAAGTACTAGCTTGCTGTTAAAGGGTTTATTTTAAAACTATTTAAAATCAGATGCCAGGAGTAGACAGATGGCATATATTACCATATTACCATTGCCTATATTGCCTTCTTGATTATCTCAGTTTCCTTTCACACATCAAATACATCATCCCCCTCTGAAAATATCATTCATTCTAGAAAAACTTAACTACTCCCAGCCATGCTTCACTACTTCTGGTTATCTTGTCACAGCTCTTATCCAAGCAGGCAAGCAATTTTACCACAAAGGAGTTCAAGATATGAACCAATATGAGCCACATTTCCAGACTGTAGAGTGGTTCTCATTCCAGGACTTCCTTCCCTGCATGTATCAGAGGATCAGCTTCCTGAGCTTCTTGTCCAAAGTTCAACATCCCTTCAGAAAGGGCTTGTATAACTGGGCCTAGCCGCCTCCCAGCGGTCTTTTTTGAACTCTCACTGTTTGTCCCCTTGCATTCCAGAAAACCTTTTCTTAACCCTTGCTAAACTTCATTCTCATAAGCCGTACTATAGTACTCCCTCTAACCCTGCTTTTAATCCAGGCATCCTGTTCCTGCAGGAACTAAGCAGCAGTCTCTGCTCTCACCAACAGCTTTCACATATCCAGTAGATCTGGGCTCTCTGCTAAGCTTTACAATAATGGAGAATGGAGAATGGAGACCTTGCCACTTTAGTCAGCCCAGCATGTGCTTCTGGCCCAAAATTCTTCACTCCACATAAAGTTTCCCAGCAATAACTTCCAAATTAGCAGTTTTCAAAGATAAAAGGAAAAGTTTATATTAATTGAATAGTATAAAATATTTTTTATATTTCATATTTCTTCTAGCCTAACCTGGTATGCCCATAGCATCAAGTGTAAACCAAATCTGCATCATTACAGTTTGTCTGCCTCCATGTGTGACACTTACTCCCCTTCCCTTCCTCCTCCTGCGTTCTCTTCCTCGCCATGCTACATACCCAGCTTTCACACATGTACACTTCCAACAATGCTGAAGATCTTGCTAAAAATGAAAAGTCTTTTCAATGTCCCCAGATATTAGCCATATTGACCAAAAAGCTGGGGATAAGTGGAAAAACCTTTAGCTCTGCCCCATTTACTCACTCTCCCCTAAACAAGATCACCAACAAGTGATGGGTTTAGCAAAGATGGGTGAAAAACACAACTTTTGGGTAGTTTTTAGGAAGATGGGTCTAGAGACAGAATTAAGGAAAAAACATAGACTTTAATATGAAAAGTCCATTTTTAGGACCAAAATATTCTTCCATCTAGCAGACAGTCTTACCCATAAGCCTGGCAAGCACTGGCAACCAGACTCTTCAACCACATTCAGCAAGTGCTCCACCTACACCCACTGAGGCAATCCAGGAGCTAAGAAAGTAGGTAGAGTGATGGCAGGGAATACAGAGCATGTTATGTGTTCAACCACATCTGTGTATCTTCAATATATAAACTTTATTAAATTATATACTTCAAATACAACTTGGCAATTGGCTAAAAAGAACAAAATGAAACAGTAGACAGTAGACACCTGCCCAATACCAACAGTCCAGTTCCATTTTCACTTACCTCTAAAATAAGCTGGAATCCCTCTCTTTTCTTAATTTCATCCACTAGATATCTGTAATTAAAGATGCAAGGGTTTAAAGCATAGAACAAAGCAATATATACAGGCAACAACAAAAAAGTTCTTGAACATTTATACACTTTTTTTTTTTCCCCTCCAATTTTCTTATATTTTCCCCCAAAGAAACCACAGAGTTAAACCTCATTTCTACCTGCTGTGAAAATGCAGTAATTATCAGCTCCTGGAAGCAAATGAAGGCTACAGCCAGCCAAGGAGCACCAAGAAGAGGCCAAATTCTGTCCTCAGGCAGAGATTTTCAGTGGAGCCACATGGCACAAATTGATCCTATTTGCATCAGGCTGTGAACCTTCCCAATGCAAATTTCCATTTATGTTGCTCTCTACAAAGTAATTCCTCCATCTCTTTTTCTCAAGTGCTGATGCTGTGCTGCCAGGTTATTTCATGGTCACCCTGACACCTCTTGCACTACTACTGTCACCAGGACCTCTTAGTCTAGCCCAGAATTTAAAAGTTTCCATATACTTCAAGCCCAACAATTTTCCCAGTACTGTCCTTGTGCCACACTGTACTCAACAATGCACATTTCCATTCTGTAAACCACTGCTGATGCACAATAATCCCTGGGCATCCTACACTAACAATGCATTGAAATAAGTATTTCTTTCTCTTTCACCTGTCAGTATGAAAAAGACAGAAGCCTTCAATGGGAAGATGAGTTTGAATAAAAACTTTGGATCCAAACAGCTTTAATGTATAGTAATTTTTTAAAGCATGACCTCAACTTTGCCATGGCACATATCACACAGGAATTCTGAAGCAGAGAGGACACTGACATAGCTGTGACTTCTTTATTCCCCCCTCAAAGCCTTCTCAAGTAAAACTCCAAAGATGTCACCTCAAATTCACATAGCTTTTTGATTTCAACAGAATTTTAGTCTTCTACATTAAGATTTTGCTGTCTAACAGTAATAAAATTGAGACAATTAAACTACTGATTGTGTACAAATCTGTTCTTTTGTTGCATTTATTTGGCATTTTTTATGATCCAGGGGCTGGAGCACCTCTGCTGTGAGGACAGGCTGAGAGAATTGGGGCTGTTCAGCCTGGAAAAGAGAAGGCTCCGAGGAGATCTTATAGAGGCCGTCCAGTGCCTGAAGGGACCTACAAGAAAGCTGGGGAGGGACTTTTCATAAGGGCAGTTAATGACAGAACAAAGGGAAATGGGTTTAAACTGGCAGAGGGAAGGTTTAGATTAGATATTAGGAAGAAGTTCTTCACTGTGAGGGTGGTCAGACACTGGAACAGGTTGCCCAAGGAAGTTGTGGATGCCCCTCCCTGGGTGTGTTTAAGGCCAGGTTGGATGAGGCTTTGAGCAACCTGATCTAGTGGAAGGGGTCCCTGCTGATGGCAGGGGGGTTGGAACTGGGTGATCTTTAAAGTCCCTTCCAACCCAAACCATTCTATGATTTTATGATTCTATGATTTTCCTGCCTGCAGCCGCATTACTGGTCATCACACAAATAACTCTTTTATCCACTACTTGAGGAAGAAAAATATTGTCAAAACAACCCCCTCTCTGTCCTACCCACATGCCTGAAACCTGTCCCCACAGGGACACCTCTAGCACAGCTGTATCTGCAATGCCTGCTATTCAGCAGACGCGCTGCAGAAACAGGTTGGCTGGGGAGGCAATAAACAATACCCCAGATGATAGACATTTTTCAAAAAAGAGCATGGGGAGCTGTCACGCTGTTTATCATTAACAAGTATTGTGCATGTGCCTCAATTACCTCTTAGCACACACCCCTGTGAAATGTTTGCTGCGGAAGGGTGCCAGTTCCCATGGCGCGCGGCTCTGAGTCGTGCCACACTGTGCGCTGCCGAGATGTTTCCTCTCACTGTAACAAGTCAAGGTTCTGGGTCTTTTCTGCCGTGACCATTTAGATCCTACTGTGTGCATTTGTTTGTTACCTGGCTGTTAACACCCACATTACTGTTTAGGTTGAAAGAGAGGCATGCTGAAAGGTAAGCAGGAGGCTAGATATCATGCGAGTGTGTTGGGGGAACTTGTTTCTGCAAGGGAATTTTCTTCAGTAAAACAAGCTCAGTGCTTTTGTCCTGTTTATCAGAAGATACTTGTCTGTGAGATAAAATCCACATTCAACAAAATGAGAAAGCTATTCACAACACAGTGGCCCTCAATTTATATTTTTATACCGAATTGTGAAAAAAACCCCTATATATGATAACTTTTTTGAGGTCTTGAATTGTTAGAGCTATTTTACAATGCCTAATACCCTTCCCTCTTAACCACAAATGCCTTTTTTTCATACCACCATCTGACACAGGATATCTGATGTCAGTCAAGCCCACAACAATGTTGATCATGTTCTTAACTACATTGCCAATAGCCTAAGAGGCAGCCATTAGAAAATCCATCATCCATGATTTATCTTGCCAGGACCATTTGATGGCAGTGGAGCAATTTAGACTCTGCATCTTTCCACAGTTGACAGTAGAGTTGTATTACCGTGTCACAGTTGTAGAACGTCAGAAGGGCCTGAGTTTCAGTAAGGACTGGAGTGCACAGAGAAGTGAAATTTGCTATGATTAAGCCTTGCAGAAAATGAGGGGTGGAGATCTGCAGTGAAAGTAGACATATGTCTGCTAAGAGTGGGTGTCAGAAGAGGAGTCAGGCAGAAAAACCGCAAAGATGCTGAAGCATAAAGTGCAGAGGTGGTTATAGTTGTATTCTAAAAGCAGGTTACTTCTATTTTCTTTTTAGTGCACTTCATAAAGTAACATCCCTGCATCAAAAATAATTGGGGAAAAAAAAACACCAGCAAAAATTTTTCTGAAGTGATCAGCAGGATGCCTTACTAAAGGTATTTTAAAAAATAAGCCTTTCCAAATAGATAGCATCATAATGTTCCTGGGATATCTAATACACTGAAAACCTGATTCATCTCCAGAACAAGAAGAAAATAATGGAATTGCCAATAAGGAAAGTTTGATGCAACAGAAATACATGCCTGCAATTACCCTAAAACCTTTGCAGCTCTGCCTGGCCATGGGGGGAAAAAAAAAAAGCAATCTTGCTCTTAAGTTCTTTATAGTCAGTGGACTAGTTCCAAAATTAATCCAGGTCTGTGTTCAGGAACACTGAAATACTATCTTTGCAACATCAAAGTAAAACCTACTGTAACAAATCAGGAGAAAGGCTGCACAGCTGTTGAGTAGTTAGGAAACCTGGAACAGTGCCCAGTAAACCTTGATGTCTCAGCTGCAAAGTGCCCCTGTCCATGCAAACTCAAGATAGCAACGCAGCTACTGTAAAGAATATACTTCATCAGATAATGACTAAGAATTAAATGTCTTCTTCAAGAAAAAAAAAAAACAAACAAAAAAAAAACCAACCCAGTCACTGCTTAGAAGTGCTACCAACTGAATCCTAACGTTCAAAGAAAATATCGATCCCAGAAAGGTCATTAATCACTACACTCCCAGTCAAACGACCTTGGCAAGTGACCTTGATAAGGCTGAATTCTCCTACTGATAGTGAAATGAATTACTCCCGTACACACACAGAACTGTACAATGCTTCAGAACAAAAACAAGGTGCAATTTAACTAGAAAATATTAAGGAACACTTAACCACCCAAACAATGAGTGGCTTTGAAGAACTAAAACAGAGGGGTAAAAAAAAAAAACAAAAACAAAAAAACCACTCATTTGGGCTTTTCTGGTTTTGCTTCTTTCTTTTCACTCCTTTCTAATCCACTCTTGGTTTAGGTCATGGGTATTTTTATCTTTTCCTTAAGTGGTTTTGTTAAAGTGAGACTATTCCTTTAATTTTCACTGGAGTAAACATTCAATTCTTTTCAACTCGGCAGTTCATATCAAAAATAAAATGGCAATATAATATGGGTGACTGTTTTTCAATATTAATTACTTGAATTATGGTAGTGTGCAGCTAGCCCAGGAATTGGTGAAAATTTAATTGTGGTTTATCTTGTATAAATTCTGAACAAATATGATACTTCAAGTGAATTGTTTTTAATGGGCCATTAACTTACTTCAATATTATTTCTTCTATCAGAAAACAAAACAACCTGTGTTTGGAAGTTTCCTCCCAGATACTGTGACATCACCACTACTTTAGAAACACCTTCTAGCGAGAATTTTGGAGAATTCACTTGTGAAACTCAGTTCTGCAAGACCAAAAACTTAGTAAAATTGAACAGGGCAAGTGAGTGGAAGATCACAAGAAAAAGGTACTTCGGTCCCTCACAGAACATACTGTAAGCATGAAGAACTTCAGCAAACTTGTGGAGAAAAAAAACAAGCAGTATCTCAGAACAATAGGCCTTCATATACCTCTACTACAGCCTAACATTAACAGTGTCCTTGTACGAATTTCCCCACATCATTGGCTTTCTGTATTTCCTCAGTCATGAGGAATGAAATGAACAGAAGAATGGCTAATTCACCTCTTGCTAGACACTGCTCAGAGCCTGGCACATAGTGTTGCTTTTACATTAACACCAGGACATACAGTCACGAGTTAAAAGAGGGGGTATTGGTAAACCTGCCCTATGTCTGGTTCAGATAACATAAATGTTAAACAATGTAGATTGGTAGTCTAATCTGGACTTTTATGTTTAGCAACATCAATGCTTATTGCTAAAAAATAGTAATTGCTATTAATATTGTAGCAAATGTAATAACACTAATTATTATTCCTATTAGTTCTTTCTATTATACATAAACAAAAGGAGAGGGGGAAAAAAAAGTAACAATGTGGTCTCTTCCAGGATATGGAATATCAGCAGTGTCAACATTTCAGTCAATTAAACAGACTAGATCTACTCAAAATTGAGAGGGGGTACCTAGCCAAAGCCAGCGCCCTGTTTACTCTCTCCTCGAGGCCTGTGGTTCCCAATGCTTTCCACATCAGCCAGAATTTGAACGCATCTGGACGCCTGCTGCACTGGATGGACTTGTCACCAGTGTCATAGCTGACATCGTAGAACTTGTCTGGCTGGAACAGGTAGGCAGCCTTGGCAGAGTAACACTTCTTCAGGAGGCCCTATTAGAAACACAACAGAGACTTAGATTGCTGATAAGCATTTTCAAACCTTTTTATCTTCAGAAGACAAAGCCTTTTTTTCCTGCTTGTAACAACTGGATGTGCAGGAAACTATACAAAGCTTACAGTGTGGTTTAAGAACCCAGTGAAGTCAGCACTGACAACAAGGAAATGTTGTTTAGTTTGGGGTTTGTTTTTTTTTTTATTTTCTCCATAATGTCACTGAAAAGTTGCAGCTTGAAGAGGAATTTTGACTCAAGAAACTATGGGAGTGGGTGCCACAGAAACAGTTGCTAAAGACATATATGAGTGGGAAAGAAGGAGGAGAAGGTAAAGCTTATGTCCACTGCTCCAGTCTATAGATTGGAAGAAGAGCCCCTGAGGAGCTTCCTACATGTTTACGAATGGCTCAATCTATTCCTTCTTTGTCAGAAAAGGAACTTTATATATGCCACAGTAAATTGCAGGTAGGGAAGATTTTACCCCCAAGAAATAAATGTTTAGCTCTTAATAAAAAAATAAAATCACTGAGGATTTAGCATAGGCTATCTGACTGAGTGAAAACATCACAAGGAGATTAGTACAACCTCAATTTTTGTCTCTTTTCACAGTTCAGACAATTCTAGCATTTGAAAATAAACCTCAGAAAAGGTACTTGAGCATACCCTAATTACTGTGTGCTAAAGAAATTATTTTTATTCAGCAGTCTCCAGCCTCCAGCTTCTGAGAAGCTGCCTGAGTAGAGATGAGCAGAGAAAACAGACAACAACAAATGAATAACATGGCAAATTCCAGCAAAGAACAAAGCAGGGAAACAGCAAAGACAGAGGCTGTTACAGGTTTAAAGGTGCCAGGGAAGAAAAGAGGCATAGGACTGGCCATTGGCTGAAGAATGAAATACCAAAGCATACTCTGTAATACTATGAAGTGGAGAGAAGGGCTAGCAGAAAGCAGTTACAAGAGCAGAGATGAGGGTGGCCCTACAAGGACCCCAGGAGACAGAAAGTTTTGTCAGTGATACTAAAAGTGGGTAAGAAAAATAAACCACAATCTGTAAAATAATGCTAGAATACAAATTCAGATTAGATTAAAAACATGGCTACAGCATCTGATTCAGATCTGCAAACATTTATTTAAGTTACAGTTGAACCAGAAGTCTTCCATGCAGAACAGACCAAGCAACAGAAGTGAACAGCGTGACAGAAGCTGCTAAACAGTATCTCAAATAGTACAATTCATTTTCCAATTCAACATCACTCTTCACTTTGAACCAACTGAAAAAGCATTTCACATTTCATCCTTTTCTCCGCATCTGCTGCAAGTCTGATTTTAAAATGGCAGAGTCTGACATCACTCTTAATCAAAGTGTCATATTCCTGTAACAGAGGTACAATTCCTGATCTACATTACAATACACTACTGATAACTTTGGAACTGCTAGTAAAACAGAAAAAAGGTCAAGACAAAAAAATTCAAAGGAAGAATAATCCCCTGACATACACGAAGTAAGTCTGTCTCTCTCTTTGCCTTTTCAATTTCCTCCATCAATGTAAAAACAAAGCAAACAAAAACAAAAACAAAAACAAAAACCAAACCAACAGTGCACACCTATTCAGAGAGCACAAAAGGAGAACACCAACCACCCCAGGTTTCTCCACAACTTCTGTAGGGGTTTGACAATCCCATTGTAATATCACTGGTTTGCAAAAAGGACAGCAAATTCAGTCTGAACTCTTTAGGCACAGGACCAGCGCATTCAGCCTTGTGAAAAGACAGTTTATAGGACAGCTTGGGGAAAAAAAGGGGAAGCGGCTGCTCTCCTGCAGTCATCAGAGTGATAATGTGCTGCTGCAGCACATGTAGCTGTAGCTGGAAAGCCAATGCTGGGCCCAGTATATAAGATTCTCACACCCGCTTTCCAACTTTCTCAGGAAAAGGAAGGCAAGAAGATTACATTAGAAACCAAAGGAAAGACAAGCACTGAAAATCCATCCTTTACAGTTTTTCCACAGCTTTCTCTTCTCTGGCCAGCAGCTGCACAACAGGAACAGGAGTCTGTTTGTCAAGCCATTGTGCTCTATTAATTTAGATCTCCATACCCTGATTTTCATGGGGAATAAAAGTTTACTAGACGTAGCATTTTTATTTTTTTTTTTAAAAAAAGGCGGCAACATCCACACATTGAAGTTAACTGCTTTGTCTCTTACTGACTAAAATTTTGCACAACATTTCTGCAGTGAGTGTATAGCAGCACTGATCAATATGGGACTATCTTCTGCCTTATCAGAATGTAATACAGCTGCACAACAGAGGACATCACAGGATATTAGTTCCCCTCATGCTTGTCATCTGAGAAATAATGACTTGTCACAAGAAACCTAAACTCGGTTGGCAATATTATGGAAAGACTGAAAAGTTCACTTAAGATCACAGTACAGCTGCAGAGTTTCATAGTTAAAAAAAAAAAAAAAAGCTCTGGAGTGAAAATGCAACAAGAAAAAATAGTTCAGTATCTCTGAGTGAACTCAAATTCCTGGGAACATATTTAATTTAGGGGGAAAAAAAGGGGGGAGGGGGGGCAGGTACTGTCCTACTCTCCTGGTACATCCAAAGCTGACAAGACATAATGGCTTGATGATTCTTTTCCATCTGTTTAACTTACTAACGCAACAGGCTCAAGAAAT